CAAAACTTCCGGAACATGGCCACACAGCCCGGAAGACCCACACCAGCCATCGTATGCCAGCCATGAAAGCCTTCGACAATACCTATCTGCTTCCTTTTGCAATATTTTTCCTCTTTACATCAGGCACCAAACTCCATCATTCAGTCCTAAATGTTCATCAGCTTACTGTGGCACAAAGACTCCCCAATTACTATGTCCTGTGGAACAGTTCCAAGTTGTCCTGTCATGGAAAAATTATAGTTCTTTGGAGGTTGAGTGACCCCTTTCCTCATATGGAAAGACTCCTGCTTCATCATATCTCCTGACTCTTAGGACCTGCATCACAAATCAGCTGCAAACTTTATCTGTAGAAATATGAGTGGTATGGAAATGCCCAGATTGTTAGAAGCTGTCTGGCATCTTGGACAAGCCATTTCCCAACCATATTTTTAATTTATCATTATGTATTATTTTAAAGAATTATATACCACTTTTCTTTACAGATAATCCCAAAACAATTTACATTTATCATGCAAACATGTCAGAATAAGAGTATAAGAAGAAGAAAAGCTACTGTATGTCATCTACGTAGAAATATGGAGATGTCGATGAGGTTCTTCATATTATGTATGTGATCTATCACTAAGTTATTACCATTTTCTAACTACTTGCTGATTTCTCCTGAACTCTGTCTCCATTGATAATACTATAATAGTTGTTATTGCCCTATACAACCACAGACTTGATTTTTTTTTCACTTAAGTAATCAAGGAAATAGTTATTATGCATACTCTGGATGCTTATTTCTGAAGTTTTGCAAAATAATTATTTCACAGACCCCAGAAAAAAGACAAGATTCCTGAACCTTCTTTCTGCTCAGCAGACCAAATGCATTTTCAATAAGGGGTTTGGAGCACACCCTTTCAAAATGAATGAAAAACAATAAAGATATTAAACATTAAGTATGCACCCAATGTGGTTTATGTACTGGATTCATTGCAATTAACTGTAATTAATTAATCAGGCTTTTATCCCCTCAATTCAAACAGGAACCAAGACCAACTAACTCCATCTAGAGTCAACCTGAGGTATTTTATGCTACAAAACATTTGTAGTTCTAAATAATAATCAATACAATCTATCCTGTAATTACCAGTATTACCATGATTGCTTTCATTCCTTCATTAAAGAGTGTCCACGGGCACCAGCAAAACTATTAAGATTAAATTGTGCTAAGAGTCTACCCTCTGCCATTCAGACGTGGGACAGCAAGAGAAATAAACAACATTTTCCTGAGACTTGGCACACCAACTTGTGCATCATCCTTTTTACTAAAGGAGTAGTTATCCAGTTCTTATGACACTCAAGTCTTTTTGACTACCACATCAAAGCTGGCTGAAAGACTTTCCAGAAATCAGATTTTAATGCAAGATTATAATGATACTAATGTTGCTAGCAATCCAGGTCCTTCTTCCTATTCTTCAGAAATATTACCATCCAGGGGAACTCAACATTGCTGGCATTATGTCTCAGAGTTATGCCTTTTTACACCCAATAACCTTTAAAACGACCCCTTCGCTGGATCTCTTTGATGATATCATGTAAGGAAGTTCTCAAATGACCTTAAGAGGTACCTTCATTAATAGAGTTTTGTTCTGATGAAGTAATAATGCATAATTTATAGTATGACATATTTCTTTTTTCTAGATTAAAGCGATAACAATCTATGCCATTTTAATTATTATGAAAAAGGTCATTGGTTTTTTAATAGTTTTTCTTCTCAGTGTCTTTAGTTTTACTTATGCTGGAAAGATAAAGCTGTTTTCTCTTATCTTGCCACCTGCTAAACATTTTTTGTTTGTTTTATGGCCAGTCGGGAAAGTTTTTTTTTCCCTATTAAAACACTTCCTGAGGCAGTCTTTTCCATAGCTTGAACAGTTCTTACCCTTAGAAGATTATTTCTGATGTGCAACCAAAAGCTGCTTTCCTGTAATTTAAACATGATGTTTCTTATCTTGTCTTTTGAAACAACTCTGAACATTTCAGCCATGTCTTCCCTATAACAGGCCTTCTGATACATGAAGGCACCTATGAGGTCGCCAATCTGTCTTCTCTTCTCTCATGGATACATACCCATGGATATTTGCCTTGTGCCTCTTGGTACACCAAATGTATTCTTTCTCTTAATTGAACACATGTAGATTCAAGAATTTGTAGGGGCAACACTTCAACTTTGTCTAGTCTCAGAAAAGGTAAGTTGGGTTGAAGTTGGTTAAGCCTTGGAAGGAAATTCAAGGGGAAAAGAAGTCCCATAACAAACTCAATAGCACACAACTGCTGTAATGTTGCTAAGAAAAGTACATGGGTACCTCGTTGTAGCAAGTGGGCACCTTTATATTAGGTAGAGGAGAGATTAAAAAAACACATACAGGTAGATATATGACTAAAGAAGTGCTTCTGTTGGGTTTATATGCAGAGAGAAAATAATAAAATAAAATTACAAGTTCACCAGGCATGATAAAATGACTGTTCATGCTGTCCACATTTCCAACATACATGTGGAGTACCTTTATACATTCTAGATAATTTTTTGGAGTCATATACCAATGGTGCATCATTTTATAAAAATTCTTTTAAATTCTATCTATCTATCTATCTATCTATCTATCTATCTATCTATCTATCT